CAGGTTGGTCATAAATTCATAAAGTATAGGAACAGCAATTCCTTCCTCGTTAGTTGACAACATTTAATTGTATTCTTAGAGCACCAGTCTTGTTGATAGATGAAGCAACAGAGTGTGAACATGGGACGGTCATGAAGGATTTATGTTGTGATTGTGGTGCTGATCTCAGAAAGTACGTATCTGTTGTTCCAACCTCAGCAATCATTGCCAAAATGGCTGCAAGCAAATGCTTAGGCATGTTGTTATTATAATTGGTAGCCCTGTTAAAAACTAAATTAACTCAACCTTGCCATTGGAATTGGAAACTTGTGAATATTGGGAGTATTTCTGGAATGTTAAGTTTGTTAACCTTTCGGACATGTAAGCAGCCATACTTCATGTACAGAAAGGTTTCTCAGTTTGCTCTTCTGTTCACTGTCTTGTTCTTTGATGTTGTTGGTCATACCATGAGGAAAATTGTTGATAGCACTATTGTCAGTTTAGTAATAGCAATAACACAGTGTACCATGGTTCATTTTTTTAGACTTCGTCAGGAGAAAGATGAGCCTTCTTCCCCAATTTTGGCATCTGTGCCACTCATACATAACATTCCTGAACTAAAAGTGAGCCAAGAGGTATGAGGCTGTTATTTATTATGGTTGGAAAATAACAATGTTAATGTGGTTATGAATAAGATACATTATTGCATGGTGTGTCAGGCCTTGTAATATTTTGGTTCTCCTATTTTGTTCTGAAGGAGAAAGAGATCTACTGGGGGACAAGGTGACTTGTAGTTTCGACCATCCTTGGATAACTTAGCAGGTTGTGAAACTGGGAGATTTTTATTTATCCTGTAATAATCAAGAATTGATTTTTCTTTGTAAGATAATGCCAGACCCATGCACAAAAAGTGAAAGCAAAATGGTGAATAGAAAGACAAGGGAGGTTGTTATTTCTACGCCTTCATCTGCAAAGCTGTTACGATGGCGAGTTCATCCTGGCTCAGAAGTTAGAGAAGGGAGTGTTCTTTGTTTGTATGAAATTGTTGGTGACGTGGATCGAGCTGGATCTTTTATAACTCGGCCGAAACTCAAATCAGCCTTTAAAGGTAAAGTCCGTAAATTGCTGGTCGCTGAGGGAGAAATCGTAGCAGCCAGGTGAGAACTGTGTATCAAATGCAAAAAAGGCTGTACGGCACAAGGGAAAGTTGAAATCATTTAAATTTATGTTTCTACTGAAGATTTTCCGGCAACTCACAAAGATTTCAGTTTGTCCCTTACATAGTGGGTCACTGCACGTTTGGAGGTTGTGAAAAGGAGATTTGTTTGTGCAATGCCTTGTGTGGTCAGAAATTTAACAAGTTTAAATTTTGCATTAGTGATTAGGTACGGCAATTTCTTTTAAGCTCTTCAGATGTTAAAAATATCAAGACAGATTATAATTCTTTGTGTCCTTTGGCAAGGCTGCCTTTGTACTTGTTCCCTTCATCTGCTAGGGTGAGATTTTATTTCGCATTTAGTCCGCAATTTTTTCCATGGGATTTGATTGGCCGTCGATCCGCCAATCCACAAATTGCAATTATTTAAATTTTTTTTTACTTTCTTTTTTACCATTGATTAAAGATTACTCTTTGTCGTACTCAAATTGATATTAGCTACCTTTTGGTAGGGTAAATGTTCTTTGCATTGGTCTGAAGTTGAATTTAACATCTGTGCTATCAGACCAGTGTGTTCTAAAATTTTGAGTGTAAATCCCCTTCTGCTTTACTGATATATGGGCTGATAGCTTTTTGGCTGAGAAATTGTCCTCAGAATTTCACATTTGGCCTTGAAGCTTTGCTTCTCAGTCAAGTATATATATATATATAAAACTGATGAAGGTCTCGGACCGAAACGTTTTTTATTAAACTTTTTAGACTTTTTATTGAGTATATATATATATAAAACTGATGAAGGTCTCGGACCGAAACGTTTTTTATTAAACTTTTTAGACTTTTTATTGAGTATATATATATATAAAACTGATGAAGGTCTCGGACCGAAACGTTTTTTATTAAACTTTTTAGACTTTTTATTGAGTATATATATATATAAAACTGATGAAGGTCTCGGACCGAAACGTTTTTTATTAAACTTTTTAGACTTTTTATTGAGTATATATATATATAAAACTGATGAAGGTCTCGGACCGAAACGTTTTTTATTAAACTTTTTAGACTTTTTATTGAGTATATATATATATAAAACTGATGAAGGTCTCGGACCGAAACGTTTTTTATTAAACTTTTTAGACTTTTTATTGAGTATATATATATATAAAACTGATGAAGGTCTCGGACCGAAACGTTTTTTATTAAACTTTTTAGACTTTTTATTGAGTATATATATATATAAAACTGATGAAGGTCTCGGACCGAAACGTTTTTTATTAAACTTTTTAGACTTTTTATTGAGTATATATATATATAAAACTGATGAAGGTCTCGGACCGAAACGTTTTTTATT